CATACACAGTATGTTGTCCCAGGCAAAAAAGGTTTTCTCCTGAGGTATAGTTTGGCATTAGCAACACAGACAGGATTCAAGGCAGAACCAAACTAAGTATAGGGATGTGTTGGCCTCTGGAGACTTATTCAGCAGAGTTCTAGAGAACTCTGGCTAGATGAAATATGGATGGAGAGATGTTTTCTCCATGGCAACTGATATTTGAAATAGTTTGAAATTAATATCTCTTAAATTTCAAGATTGATCTAATCACTGCAAGCTTGGAAATAGTATTTCACATTGACACCAGCTGACTTTAATTCAGAGCTTAACACTCAACAGATGGCATCTTGAGAACTATTTCATACACATTCACTCATGTAATCTGTAACAGTACTATGAGGTAAGCATTATATTTGGGGGGCAATATTTCATTGTTCTTTTCAAAGCATTTTTTGTTTGCTCTACCAGGCATGGTGCTGTGACTGTGTTAAAATACAGAGACTCATTAAAGCAAGTTCTTCCTCATGATATATTTTCTCTTAATAGTGGACTTGGTACATTATTTCTTTTGGATAGTTTTCAGAATTTATTGAAATATAAAAATAATGAAACTATATGTGTATTGGAAAAACAAGTTTGCTATCATAAGTATGGAATTTGTATTATTTATATTTCCTTGTGGAACTATGTTTGCTGCAAATCAAGGATATTAATTAATAAGGGCACAATTAAAATACAAATACTTTCCTTCAGTAAAGAAGAAATATATGGTAATATCTCCTACCTTATAGAATAAGGGATTTCCCATAACCCTAAATTTGATGAGCACAAAGCAGGAGACTGTATTTCTAACATATATTTACATATAATATTTGCCCTGTACTTTCCAGAATTATATTCTAGATTGCAGAAGATGAGATAGCAAAGCAAATTTTGGCACATACCATGGTGTCAAGCCGACCAACGACTTCAAAGGAGAAATCCACACCTCCATTGCTCATTTCCTGGAGTACCTCCTCAATAGGTTTGTCATAGTCTTGAGGGTTGACAAACTCAGTGGCACCCACCTCTCTGGCCTTTGCAAATTTGTCTTTGTTGATGTCCACTGCAATGATCCTGGCTGCTCCTGCTGCTTTGCAGCCAATGATAACAGACAGGCCGACTCCACCCAGGCCAAACACAGCACAGGTGGAGCCCTGGGTGACCTGTATTTGCAGAAAATGCAAAAGTGGGTTGCTAGTGGTTGTTAGAATGTGTCTAAGCCATATAAGTAGCAGGCCTTGTCACCTTTCAGGAGCTACCCAGACTCCATGTCAACCTGCTGCCAAGTCTTTTTTGGCTATAATTCCTTTAGGTTTAAATTGAGGCACTTGAACTAAACCAGTGGTTCTCAAACTTTATTGCACATGAACTTCATCTGGGAGATTTTAAATATCATGGCATCCTTGCCACAGTCCATGCTAATTAAATCAGACTCTGCAGATGTCAGCTTGGCTCCAGTGCACACCGAGGGAAGCCCTGAGAGCCAGTGGACTAGACAAGTTGTAAGCTCTAAATACCAGTGATTCATCCTGATGAGACTCTCACATCCATTGATAGCCAAGCCCAGTTTCCAGTAACAGACACAGCATTGTGGGGATGACACAAATATGTGAGGTTGCTCCAGGAGGCTGAGCTATAATCTACTCACACTATCAATATTTCTCCTAGCTCAGTTCTGTAACTTTCAGTAGACATAAGCAATGCAATGAAAACAGAAATTAGCTCTGAAGTACATAAGATGAATCCCTGTTTAAAAAAAGACTTAGGGCTGGAGAGATGGCTCAGTGGTCTAAAGCACCTACTTAGAACAAGCTTGGCAAAGCATCAGGGACCGCGGTTCAATCCCCCAGCACCACATGCC